AAAAAAGGATCTTTTTTTTCTTAAAGCTTAGATTTTATTTCTTTCTCTTTTTTTTTTTTTTTTTGCGGTACAGCAAAAACTCAGGACCTTGTGCTTGAGAGGCAGGCACCGCACCACTGAGCTAAATCCCCGGCCCAAAATAGGGTCTTAAAGCAAGTCTTGAAAGTCAGGCTTAGTAATTTCTAAATTGATTTAGTCCCAAGAATATATCAGGAAAAGCCTAGAACACTTAGAACACTAGGCGACTTGGGAGGCTGAGGCAGGAGGATTGCCATGAGTTCAAGGCCAGCCTGGGCTACATAGTGAGACTCTGTCTCAAAAAAAAAAAAAAAAGAAAAAAGAACGAGAAAAGAAAAAGAAAAGCACTAGGCAGAGAGATCAGAGGGTACACTCCTTCTGGCTAAATGGCTAGACCGTAAGGCCTGCTCTGTAGGGGATAGAATAGCTGCTCTCAAAGTGTCATACAGCAATCCCTTGGAGATCACCAAGATCATTTCCCTGGGTCTACAAGGTCAAAATTTTTCACAGTATATTAAAACAGTATGGTTTTTTTTCACTCATTCTTTCCTAAGTGTAGAATGGAATTTCCAGGGGCTACATGATTTGTGAAATTGCAACAAATCAAACACAGAAGTAGATATGCACGCCTATTAAGCTATCTCCTATTTAGCCAGACATTAAAGCAAACTAGAAAATATAAAAGAATTCCATTCTTCTTATTAATTTTATTTTACTTCATAAAATATACAGTATTTTATCTACAGTATTTTATAAAATATTTATATAATACATTTTATAACTGATGAATAAATATTAATATGCCTGTTTCAGTTTATAATATGACAAATATTGATGAATATAACCCAAACAAAACAAAGCTTTTTGGAGCCTTCAATATTTCTTAAAAGTATAAAGGGGTCATAAAACCAAGAGGTTTGTGAATCACTAACATAGAAATGGAAATTTATCCCTTCCAGGCTAAAGTGTTATAGAAGGAAGAAAGAAGCCAGTGTTACAGTCAATATGTCAGACACCTGGATTCTTATAAATCTATCTCTTCCTGTGCCCCTGAAATTCTGTCCAAAGCTTGAGTGAGTTTAGAAAACATCGAAACAGATATGGGAAACTCAAGAATATTAAGACACATATTAGAAAGCAGCTGAAAACAAGAATTCCCACATTTTTTTGTGTGTGCCATGGACCAGGTTTGGAAGTCTGATGAATCTTACAGACCTGTTCTCAGAGTGTTTTAAAATTTATAAACTACACAGAATTTTAAAAATCATATTGTTATTATATTTCTGTCAAATGTCCAAAGGAAGTTCTGCATATGACCACTTCCAACCTGACGCAAAGGGACAGTACAACAGCAACTGCAGGCAGCTGTATATGGATAAGCCTGGGGCTACACATTGGCTCTCTTTAGTCCGTTCTTTTTATGCACAGGATCCACATATCCACCAGTGAATCGGTACAACAGGCTGAGAGATTTCAGAGGAAAAAGTCATGGAATGGGAATACTTCAAAATTCTCCAAAGTAACTTGGGCCATGTACTCGAGTAACAGATTTAACACATTACCCCTCGTGGGGGATATGGTTAATGGGGGAGGCTATGCATGTGTGAGGGCAGGTGGCACGTGGGACATTTCTGTATCTTCCTCTCAATTTTCTGTGAACATAAAACTGCTCTAAAAAAAAAACCCTAACATCTTTTTTTTTTTTTTTTTGGTACCGGAGATCAAACTCGGGACCTTGCACTTGCAAGGCAGGTGCCGGAACCACTGAGCTAAATCCCCGGGCCAATGTCTATTTTTTTAATACTTAGCAATGCTCCTGTTGCTCATTTAGAATCTAACCCAGAATAGGTTTCACTTGGAACCAATTTACTCAAAAAGATGCAAGGACAGAAGCACCAGCATGTCAAGAGGGCATTACTAGATATTTTTCTTATGTAAGAGTCCTTAAAGCAATCCACCAATTCAAAGGTTTGTCTTCTTTGACCACTCCAATATACAGCTCAAGTGGAAGAGAACAAGACCCAAGCGGGTATATGCCATAGTCATCCAGGATTAGAAGCCTTATGACCATTCATGGGTATAGCTGCCAGGTCTCCACAAAAGACATATTACATTACTTAGGAAAGCCCAAAGTTTTGGGCATCTAGAATTCGTAGTTCTCACAATCTTCCTAATAGAGGAGAATTCAACATACAGGACCTTTTTTATTATAATACTAATTATACAGTTGATAGTTCATCTTTACTAGGTTTCCAGTTATATATAATTAGAAAGTTAATCCAACTTCAAATTTGTACACAAAGCAAAGGAGGGAGTTTTGCTAGCTTTTATTCATTGTTTCTCTGTAGCCTTCCCCAACTTTCCATTAAATACTCATATAGTCACCAAATAAGTAAAAAATTCTCATCAAAACAAAAAAGTAGGCCTGATAGATATTTAAGTGCTGGAGCCTAGAAGAAATTAAATTCACTGTAGGACAGATGAACATTTTCTGAGGGAAGCACTTAAAACTCTGCTTCATGAAACAGATTGTCTGAACACTTTGTAAGCAACATGAAAGATCTTGGATTTACCTTTTAGGTTCTGCAGGGACACTTGAAATTTTCAAGTTTGAGCTTCAGATCAATCATGTTTGAGAAAATATGAAAGAGCTTTTTGATACAGGCAAGGCTTTAAGACTGAAGATATGAAAACAAAATAGAGACAAACATTTGCAGTATTTTTGGCGAGAAATGTTGAAAGTCATTACTTAGTAGCAGAAGAATGAAAGAAATAGAAAAGAAATTAGTGGTTACTTGAATTTGAGAGGCAGAAGAGGGTAAAGGTGTAAGAGGGAAAAACTCCAGAGTGGCTCTTACACCTCTGATTTAGTTATGGGTAGGCAGCCTTTCCCCGAAACAAACAGAAGAGGAGGGAATTTAAGAGTGAAAAATCATTAGCAGGTAAATTGGAGTTGGCAGAAAGATAGAGAGTTCTATTCTGAGTATGTTTGGCTTGAAATAGCTTTGGGCGATCTGGATGAAACTGTCCCCAAGCATCCCTTCATACTGAACCTGGTCAATTTGGAGGACACTGAACTCTGAGTTTTCCATTTTTCTCCGTTAGATCCTGAACTCTGGGAGCTGGGGTGGGGGTGGATCATAGCTGGCAGCAAGCAACCAGCAGGATTAGACTAAAAGGTTCCAATTGCAAGAATCCATTCAACCACAAGATGGCATCAGAGCTAAAATACAAGAGAACCTTACTTTGAACTTTCCTCGTGTGGCAAAGCAATCACTTACCAGTGTTTCAGGGTTTCTTTATTAGCAAGGAAGGACTACTCCCAGGTGAATATGTCTGAAAAGAGACACTTGGAACATTCTCAAACAAATTATACAGCCTCCAGTATGGTCTAGGTCTGGAAGATGGGTGTGGTGAGCAGGTAATGCAGGGGATCAATGAATCAGCAGGTATTTGTTTAAATTGGACAAGGGCTGTGAGAAAACAGGTGTGAGCTTTTGATAATTGTTTGTTTTAAGCCAGGGTCTCTCTATGTTGTTCAGGCTAGCCTTGAACTCACAGCAATCCATAGCAAGCCTCAGATTCCCAAGTGCTGGGATTACAGGCAAGGGCTACCAAGCCTGGTTTGTAAGCATTCGGTACAAACCACAGGTATGAAAATCGATCCAGAAGTTTGCTGAATTGTCATAACAGAAACTTTAAGAAGAAAGACACTAGCAGGTCTGTGCACCAGGTAGGACCTCCAGCCTCACTCTAAGTTATTGTTGAAGAGGCCCACGTGTCCTCAGGCCAAATATTAGATTAGATATGGGCATCTTGATATGTGGGCCCTTAATAAATCCACTGTGATATATGCAAACAATGTAATATTGCTCAAGCATAAAAAGGAGTAAAATACTGATGAATGTGTATGAACCTCAAAAAAATTCTAAATGAAGAAAACTAGACAAAAAGATCAATACTTCCATTCATAAGAAATATCTCAACAAATAGAAACAAAAAGCATAGAAACAGAAGGCAGATTGGTCTTGCTTGCATAGTGGCACAAACCCAGCACTCAGGAGGCTGAGTCAGGAGGACTGCAGTAAATTTGAGACCAGCTTGGGCTACATAGTGATTTTAAGGCTAGCCTGGAAAACACACAAGACTCTGTCTCAAAAACCCAAAAAAGAAAGGAAGCAGATTGGCCTTTGCCAAGGACTATGGGGGTGACTACTTAATAGGCATGAGTTTTTCTTTTAGGAGATAAAAATGTTTCATAGGTGGTGTAGAACATTGTGAATGTATTAAATGTCACTGAATTGTACGCTTCATTTTATTTTTTTTTACTATAAACTGAATTTATTGGTAGCAACTTTATGTAACTTATTCTTCATATTTGATGTTACAAGCTTTAGGGTCTTTGAGACATGCAGGACCCTTGTATGTAAATGGCATAAATCACATTATTTGAGCTCTCTTAATTGCTTTTGAAATTTGTTTCTTCCCACAAAGACCCATTATATGCCTTCCATGGATGCATACAGTAAAGGGAAAAATAAACTGGGACAAAAGCTGCACATTCTTAAAAGCCACACATTTCCCACACAAGATACACTTCTTAAGAGGCTCCTTATAAAGACTTTCCATTGTAATAGGCAGGTTGTCATTGCTGGTTACCTGTTTAGACTATGAACAACTTGTCCTTAGCACCGTGGGAGGTCCGGGATCCATGAGCCAGACAGCAGCTGTCACCCAGTGAGTCAACTTCTTCCTCCCCAGACCACTGCAAACAGCAACTACAGCGGCCATGCTTTCTCATCCTTCTTCCTTTCCTTTCTCCAGTGAACTGCACATTTTAAATGGATATTTTATGTCATGTGAATTTGCCTTACTTTATTTAAAAATGAAAAGCCACCCATGCAGAAACATGAAAATATTCACATTATACTACAGTGGCATACAAGCATTAAAAAAAAAAAAAGGAAATAGAAAATAGCAGATTGTGTACTATATATTTATTAGGTTATAAAGTATATTTCTACTGTGAGTTGCAGTTAAAAAATAGCTGAAAGCTACTGAAAATAAAATACTTCTGTTATGAGCTTTTAGTTTCTTCTGTGGCAGGGATGGAAATATGTAACTCTGATCTTCTTGTAAAAGAAGTGGCTTGTATGCTGTAAAGACAGCAAACCTCATTTTATCCATGCAGATTTGCTTCCCTTGTCCAACGGATTTTGTTTCGTTCCTTTCGTTCATTTGGATGTTTTACGTTTATATTTTGTCTCAATTTTTTTTGTTGTTGTTACCAGGGATCGAACTCGGGTCCTTGAGCTTGCGCAGCAGGCGGCGAAACCACTGAGCCAAATCCCCGGGCCTTTATGTTTATATTTTGGATTCGAAATATTTGCTGTGACAAAATGTAGCAGATACAGAATTTCCAAAAGGGGACTGCAAAAGCCACTTCAAAAATTTAACCCACTGCAACCTCTCCAGTCCAGTGTTGTCTTAACTGTGAAACGTGATATGACTCTGCGAAACTGAGGGATTTTCTTAGATGAAACATACAGAGGTCTTCTGCTGCAAATGCTGACTGGGGTGAAGAGGGCAATTTATGGTCACACGGTGCATGGTACAGCTTTTGATAGGGTTTACCACTGACTGTTCTGGCTACACCTTCACTTCCAAGACAGAAATAGGTCGTCCTACACAAGGCTTCCAGCCAGCGACTTCGTCAAGAAAAGCTCTTAACTCCGCAGCTGTTGGAGCAGAAGCCAACTGACTCCACTCTAACGCCTGGCATAGTCTGGTCTGTCAAAAAAGGCATCGCAATATATAGTCGTCAATATTGATACTTCTAGAACCTGAGGTGCTGTTTCTTTATATATAAAAAAAAAAGTGGTGCAGGCCTGTAGTCTCAGCACTCGGGAGGCTGAAGCAGGAGGATCGCTGCAAGTTCAAGGCCAGCCTACACTATGTATATAGCGCGACCCTGTTTCAAAACAAAACAACCCACTTCCTGCCGGAATACCTCAAACTAAAAATTACATTGCGTGTGTAATTTTGTATTCGGTCTACTATCCCCTGAGAACAAAACGTCCTTTCTCGGCCTCGAATATATGGCGAATTGAGAAAAATTAAAGTTCTCTCAAACCCACGAAGCAACCCACATTTCTCAGACGAGGGATCTGGAAACCATCCTTCAGCCAAACGAGGTCGGTAATGGGGAAGGGTGACCGGGAAGGGCCAAACTTAGTAACCGATGTAGCTCTAAGAACGCGGGCGGCGTCTGTGACGTGTTTTTCCGCCGCAGAGCACCCTGGGAAGAATGGCAGAACGCGATGTGGGCGCGCGCCCTGTAAAAACGAAATGAATTCCGCGGATCGGGTTGCGCCCCATACTCTTGGCCGCACGGGGTGACACACGTTTTACGGGCACAGCGGTGTCCACTCGGCGCTAGATTGGTGCCCCAGGTTTCCTTGAGTCGCAGCGAGACGCGTGGCGACGCAGCTGCTGAGCGAGCCAATCCCGAGCCGGCGGGAGGGCGGGGTCAGATTTGAAATCCCTGACTGGTGTGAGGGGACTCGCGACGCGCTGGTTGTCGTTTGGGCGTGCAGCTGTGCTCCTCGGGTGCTGGCGCGGGAGTCGGACACTACGACCACCCTGTGCCAGACCCTTCACCCGAGGTACGAGGTGCCGCCCCGCTCCCAGCCCGCAGGTCAGGGTCTCCGGTCCCGGTCCCGCTGCCGGGCGCGACCCCGACCTCTGGCGCGCTCTGCCCTGGCCTGGGCTTTTCTAGAGCTCCTGCCTTAACAGTCGTTTCCTAAGTGCTTCCTTGCGGGGCTGCTGCGGTTGTCAGGAGAAAAGAACATTCACTGATTCTTTCGGATGGTGAGTGCACTGGTCTTTTCTTTCTAAAATCAGTTCTGGGTGGGAAAATCTTAGGTCAGAATGATTGTCAGGAAAATTGCCCCGGTACCCAGCTCTCCATCTTGGGACCTAAGACTCCACCTCGAAATATAGAAACAGTGGATCTCTCCAGTTTATGTTTTCCTCTGATTACACTACTTACATGCTGGTTGCAAAGAGTTTAGATATTAACAAAATTGTTTAGAAAATGGAAGGCCCTTTCACAATGGATCTCTCCGGTTTATGTTTTCTTCTGATTAAATTTACATGCTGGTTGTAAAAAGTTTTAGGTGCTAATGAAATTACAATGGAAAGCCCTTTCACCCTACCTTTCCTAGCTAAACACTTCACGATTTGATGCACTGTCTTCCAGATTTTCCCCCTATGTTTATGTTCATTTTTTTGAAAACGAAAATGCAACTCCATGTCCTTTTTGGTGTGTACTGGAGATTGAACCCAGAGCTTTTACACTGAGCTACATCCTCAGCCCTCCCCCTTTTACATTTTGAGATATAGTCTCCCTCAATCGCTAAATTGCCTAGGCTGGGCCCGAATTTAGGATCCTTCTGCTTCCCATAGTGCTAAGATTACAGACGTGCACCACCAGGCCCAGCTTTCTGCTTCCTTTTCAAATTTAATTTTCCTGGGGAACTTTGCATGTCAGTATCTATATATCTTTTTGTTGAAGACATAGAATTCGATTTTATAAATGTAGCAGAATTTATGAATTTATTTTGCCTCTTATTGGTGGTCATCTATGTTGTCTTCTAATTTCCCCAATACTGCAGTGAACTTTTGTGTAGTAGTAGATTATATTGCCTGTTGTTAAAGAACTTGGGTTTTGAGGGTGGACTTGGTTACTACTCTTTCTGGCTGTTAAATGTAGCACCTTACTTCCCTAATCTTCAAACTGGGACCAATAATATTACTTAAATCTTAAGGGTTGCAGTAAGATTGTATAGCATGCACTAGGTACTATTTAGTAAATACTGGTTATCATTACTGCATATATATTTGGAGAAGAATTTATAGAATTACAGTAGTTTTCCAGTCCCAGAGTCAGTCACACTTTTACCCCTCTTTGTCAACTACGATTATTGAAGAATATTCCCCCCCTTACAATCCCAAATTATTGGATAAAATAGTACTTTATATATGAATTTTTAAGTTATTTTTAGGTTATTTTTCACAGAATTTATTGTAGATAAAGATACTTGATGTCTTTTCATCTGACTATATTAGTATTTTTTGTGGTAGGCTTTTTATATTTAGATAATATCAGAAAATATTGGTAAAGTTATAAATTCAGTAGTAAGACCTGCTAGAAATCTTGATTAGTAAGTTCCAGGTCTCTTGGATTGAAATATTTTATTTTCCAAGAATTACTTAATGTAATAATTACAATTACTAGCTATGAGAAATAAAATTTACATGTAAGAATTTAAAGAAAGTCTTTAAATAGCATTATGTTTTAAAACAATTAAGATTTACTTTTTATTTGAAGGTTTTCAACTAAGATCTTGTAATTTAAATGTTCTGGAGCATAATAAAGTCAGGGTTAGAGATTATTTAAATAATTGAATGAATCTTTGAGCTGTCAGTAGGATAGATCATTGTAGCTCTAACCTTAAATTTGAGTGAGTAAAGGGAAAAACTACATTTGTGAAAGTTAAAAATCTTTCATAATTCAATAGAGTGTCATGCAGATGTTCTTTTTGATGTAAATATTGGATTGGAACCTCCAAGGTTTGATGTTCAAGTAAATTTCAAAACAGATATTCAAAATTCAGATCTTAGAGCTATTAAATATATCATTTAGTGAATGCTGCTTTTTGGAAAGAAGTAAATTTAAAGACCAAATGACTATTCTATTGAAAAATAAGACTTTAACAAAAAACTAAAATCCTAGTCTGATTTGTGAATTCTAGATTATCCATTGTTGTTATGAACTAATTAAACTTTTCAATTACTATAATGTTGTTACAGAAAGCAAATAAACTAAACTTTTTCTGCACCAAAGCATGATAAAGATTGATTTCACATTGAACTACAGGTTTCTCTGGGTCCCTGCTGAAATTCTATCCTGAAAATTGTGTTTGAATTTTCTGTTAGAGGAATTTTGTTGCTACTGACTTATCAAGATGATTGCAACACCTTTGAAATATCCAAGAATTCACCTATCTTCAGAGATGTCTTCTCAAACAAGAAATATGCCCATGGATGCGATCTTTTTTGATAACATTCCTGCAGGCACACTTACTCCTGTGAAAGATTTGGTGAAATATAAGAAGTCCTCTTTAAAACTGAATGACCATAAAAAGAATCAGTTTCTAGAAATGACAACTTCTAACAATAAAAATGTATTTCAATCTACCATGCTAACAGAGCCTGCCACCTCTAATAGTTATCTTGATATCAGTGCTATAAAGCCCAATAGCAATGGATTAAAAAATAAAGCAGCCTATGAATCACCAGGAAAAGTATTTCAGAGAATGAAAGAAAAAGTACTGCGTGACAAACAAGAACAAGCATCAGGAAACAGTAGTATGCTGGAACCACCGAACAGTGAAAATAATAAACTCTTTACTCCTAACAAAGATGGGAAAAGACCATTGCAGCATATCTACCTGTGTGAAGAAAAGGAGAATAACGGTTCATTTCAATCAGGTAACAGTTTGCTAAGAGAGTAGTTTTATTGTGTTTTTGCTAAAGAGCTAGAATGTGATAAATGCTTAATGTGTCAGATACTGTTTTAGGTTTTCAAGATACAGCAGTGGATAAAATGCATCAAAATTTCTGCCTCTGAGTATAGTTCACATTCAAGTGAATTTTAAAAAGTAATTTTTTGGTACAGAAGAGGAAGGCAGGAAAAAAAAAGCAGAGTAAGGATGATAGAGTTGGAGGGTGTTGTATTTTTCAGTGGAATGATTAAGGTAAGCTTCAGAAGATAGCATCTGGCCCCAAACACTGGAAGGAAGTGATAGGTAGAGATGTTTTGGGAAATGGAGAAGGATGATGCAAGCAGATTACAGTTAAATGCCATGAAATAAGAAAATGGCTGATAAATACAGGGCCTAGTATGAGGTGAGTGTCATGGAGTGAATAGACGGAGCTGAAGAAAAGCGGATAAATAAGATAGAGTCAGGTAATATAGGACCTTATGGGTAAATGTAAGTTGACTTTTTTTTTTTTTTTAGATAGGGTCTCACGATGTAGTCTTGGCTTGGCTTGAACTCTGTGGTGATTCTCCTGCCTCAGCTTTCAGAGTGGAATGCTGGGATTATAGGCCTGCACCACCATGCCTGGTGTAAATTGGCTTTTAATATGAGCAAAATAAGGAGCCACTGGAGGGCTTTGAGCAGAGGAATGTTTTAAAACTTCTCTCTGGCCCTTAATTTGAAATAGAAGCCGTACAGTAATGCATGTAACAGTATTGCCTAGGTCCAGTGGTTGCCTTGGTCCAGTATTGCCTTGGCAGCAGTGGTTGAATTAAGAAGTGCTTAGATTCTGGATATATTCTGAAGGTAGAGCCAGTAATTGGCCTATAGATTGAGTGTGAATATAAGACAAAAAAGGATAACTTCAGATTTTTTTGTTTTGTTTTGATTTTGTTTTGGATTTTGGTTTTGGCCTGAGTAATTGGAAGGATGATTGAAAAGTCAGATGTCAGGTTGGAAAAAAAAAATTAATTGGAATTTAGGGAAGTGATCCAGGGCACAGAAGTTCATTTGAGAATTATTAGAACCTAATAGTGTTTGAAGCTGTGAGATTAGATAAGATCCTCAAGAAATAAATGTAGAAAATGTTCCAAGGGCTGAGCCCTGAAGCATTTCACTATTTAAGAAGTTAAAGAGTGGAAGACCACTGAGATGATCAGGAACAAGAAAAACCAGAAGAGTTTTACTGAAGCCAAGAGAGCAAATTGCTGTAAAGATTAGCGAGTCATCAGTTGTGTATGGTTCTGCTAGTAGATCAAGCAGGCTGAGATTTGGTCCATGGATTTAGCTGTGTGGAGGTTATTGGTGACTTTGAGGAGTGCAGTTTTGGTGAAATAGTAGGCATAAAAACATAATTTGAGCTGGTTCAAGAGGCAGAATGATGAGAGAAATTGGTAATGGTGACCACAGAAGTCTTTCTGAGGAAAACATACAGAAGTATGGTTAAAGGTTTTGTTGTTTTGAGTATTTGGTGAAATAACATTTTTGTATGCAGTTGGGAATAATGTACAAGAGGCACAAACTTAGATTGCTAGTGTTATACCTGAGTATTTGAGAAGGAATAGAATTTAATAAGTAAAGATTTGGTTTTAGCTAGGACAAAAATGGATAAATTGTTAAGAATGAAAGCAGTTTGTGCAAATACACGTGCTGGTGGATCACTATTATATGACTTCACAGATAATCTGAAATAAGAAAGGCCATCATGAGCTGAAAATACTTAGGAGATGATGCAGTGTTGAAGTTTGAGTAGGTAGAGGTCTGAATAGTGCAGAAGAGGGGAACAGTAAATTGTCTAGGCTTAAATTTGATTTTCTAGATAACAAAGATATACTCAAGTTTGTAGGCAGGAGTTTAAAGTGAGACCAGTAAATATTATTGTAAGTTTTTCTCTATCTTTTTTATTATTTTTATTTTATTGGTAGCGGGTATCGAACTCTGGTCCTTGTGCTTGCGCAGCAGGCAGTGGAACCACTGAGCTAAATCCCTGGCCCCTCTCTATCTTTTTTAAATGCATAAATGCTAGTAGGGAATAAGCTAGGGGTTGGATTTTATCTGGGTTATGTTTTTGCCAAACATGAAATGACAGACGAAGTTGAGAGTGAGTGCAAGGGGGTAACCGTGATCACCTCTAAAATCTAAGCTGGGTACTCAGAGCTAAGTAGATCTGACTGGTATGGGGAAGTGTAAACAAGTACTGTACAGGTCTTGTTGGGATAGAGGATTTGAGAGAATGATGTGGAAAAATAGAAAGTGTTCAAAAATTGGCACACATGAAAGTGAGATTTTGATGTTTCAGCAATTGGTAATGAAAAATATTTAACATACATTCTCTTATTTGATCCTTTTAGCAAACACTGGGAACTTATTAATAGCTCTTATAAAGAGCTCATTATCTTAACCACTACCTGGTAGATTGTAGGCATATTGTTGTATTTCAAAGACAGTGACATATTCTGATACAGAGAACAGAATTTTCTAAGGGAGTGTAGGATGGAGATGGAGGAGTATACAAAATAGTCTATTGTAGGGAACAGGGGAAGGGGATGTTACCAGAACCTCTGCAGTAAGTCCTAGTCTCCTGTGAGCCACGGCAGCACACGGCGAATTACAGGAAAGGTAGACAAATGAGACTGAGAAGAAGCTGAGCTTTGGGTCTGATCAGTGCTGCTCTGGACAGCACAAAGACAAAAGCCCCCTAGCTTGCAGCACTTTTTATTCAGTACAAGGGGAAACAGATCTAACAAGTGAAAATGCAGAGTTCAGTACTTCACATAGGGATAAACAAGGTGTAAAAAGACTGGGGGAGGGGGGGGCAGTGGAAATCTTAAGAACAATGAGGAACTATACAGATGAAGATTTGGTTCCTCCCAGGCGTCTCCCGCAGGTGTGGTCTTGTTCTGGAGCACTACAGCATCCAGGGAATCACTGAGGTCTCAGTTGTGAGCGGAAGCCAAAATGCAATTATGTCTGGAATGTCATAGCTGGTCTGTAGGCTGGAGAACTAGGCCTACTCAAATGATTTTTCCCTAGAATTATGTAGCATTGCTCCCAACAGTCTACAGCCTAGGAGAAAATGGAGAAACAAATGAAATTATGCATATTAAAGCATGTTTTATCTACAAAATAGAGTTTGAGAGAGATAGAAATGCTGGTCTACTTTGAGAATGTGATGACTCTTTCCCCAGAAAGTACACACAAGTTTTGTAAATATGATTTCAGAGATTTTTTTTATAGTCTCTGCATGGCTATCAAGGACCTATGTTGTACAGCATGTTTTACTTGATGGAATTACCTGCTTGTTTTTAATACATAACCTGCCATTCCAAAGGAACGAGTTAAAGTAGAAATTATTCACTTCTTTTTATGACTCATCATTATAATCTATATATTCAGATTTCTAAGGCCAAAGTGGCATACTTGTTAAAGCATGATCACTACCAATTTTCTAAAGTATAATACTTGACATTAAACGAAATTCAAATTTTCCTTCTTTGTTACAACTTTTAAGTCTGTTTTCTTTATGTGTGAAAGAAACTCATTTCTATATTCAAAAAAATTAAAGTTTAAAGAGCTAGATTGTAAATCAGAATAAACAATACTTGTTTCGTCTAGTTAGTTTCTTTTTTTTTTTTTTCCTACCAGGAATCAAACTCAGGTCCTTGCGCTTATGCAGCAGGCAGTGAAACCACTGAGCTAAATCCCTGGCCCTGTCTAGTTAGCTTTTGTGCTTTTAAAGGAAAAGAGATGTCAAGGGAATATAAATTATAGTTGAATCTCCTATTGGGTCTCAACATTTTGACTTAAAGAATAAGTTGCAGCTCTGTTCTTTTGTTTTTTAAGAATTTACAGTAATCAGAAACAAGTAGAATTTTTAAGACTGGGTAGCACTTCATGTATACTCTTAACAAATATATGCTTAATTTGTGGCAGCACTGGAATTTTATTCCAGATCTCCAGACTTCTAAGTCTAGTAGTATACTTTCCCCCTTTCTCTCCCTGTCCCCAGAGTCCTCACCTGACAGCAGAGATCACCCTGTTAGCCACTGTGTGACACTGTCTATCTGCCCTTTAGTCAACATCTCCCAGCAAGCTCTGTGCCCAGCCACCTGGGGCCTGGTTGTCCAGCGCAGCTCCTGGCACCAAGCAGTCTGGTACGTGGTGCTGGACAGAAGTTGTATCAAGGCTGTCCGAATGCTCAGCCTGGGTCTCCTGGAACCTTGCTGCCGTCTATACTAGGAGGGGCCATGACCCAGACCCTTACACTCGCAGAAGGCTCATGCTATGCTTTTGTCTAGAGCAGGCAGATTGTGGCTTAGAGAAGTTTCTAAATGCCCCTTCAGCATGATACCAGTATTGAGAATGTAGTGAAGGTGTAAAAAGACAATAAAGGGAAATATGGATGTACCTCTCATATACTGCAAAATTACACCCTACTGGTCTGATCATTACAACTTAATTTTAAAAAGCATTTTTTTCTCCTCTGTAGTAATCAACTTCTTTTATTTTTCTTTTTTTTTTTTTAAAGCTTCTGTCCAAGAAGTTACTCTAGAATCATCACATTTCCTTCCCTTCAATCAAAAGACTCAACACCACCAAGAAAAGAAAACACAACTGCACAATTCAACTTATGGTAAAGTGTTCTTGTTTGTTTCTTAGTTTCCAAGTTGGGGCAGTAAGCATTGATGAATTAACCGTGAATTATTTAAAAGTCAGAGGCACTCAGAGACTAGGCAGGAGGATAGAGCATTCCTAACTCAAAGACTTCTTTTTAATATAAGCAGTTTTAACTTGACTTTTATTTCTCTCTTTTAATTTCATGATCCTTATATAATTTTTGTTTTGTGTCTTTTGCAGAACTTCCAATTCTGAACCAAGAACACAAAAATGTTTCAGCAGTAGGAGTCTCAAACAAAGGATTAGCTAGAGCTCAGTTGACTAAACAGATTCTTCACTCAAAAGAAAACATAGTTGAAATCACTAAGTCCAAAAAGGACACGTTTGTTTTAGAAAGCATTCATTCTGCCAATGAAAAATTCCAAAATTCTGATGTTGAAACTTCTAGTACTAATTGTATTCCTATTAAAAGCGGTAGTCAAGGAATAGTTTCTGATAGTGATATGACAACAGAAGGGATTTCACAAGGGGCAAGTACAGAACAAAATGAAAAAACAGTGTCCACAGAGACTAGTCTTCTCAATTCCATGGAAGATACATGTAAAATTGTACTTGCAAGTCCAAGACTTCATTTTACAATACCTCGGAGGTCAAAAAGAAATATTTCAAAGCTTTCTCCTCCAACTTTATTTCAAACCATTACAAACGAAGTTAAAAAAAATAAGGTAGGAAAACTGTATTTTGTTTTTTTGAGACAGCATCTTGCTATGTAGTTCAGGTTGGCCTTGAACTCACTGTGTAGCTGAGGCCAGCCTGGGACTCTCAGCTCTCTTAATGCCTCAGCCTCCTAAGTGCTGAGCTGCAGGAGAATGCCACCATGCCTGGCAAAGATAGGAAAACTTTTGGGTTTTGTTTTTTTTTTAATTTGTTTGTTTATTTTTTAGACAGAGTCTCGCTGTGTATTTCAGGCTGGCCTTGAACTTACTATGTAGCCCAGGTTGGCCTCAAACTTGAAGCAATCCTCCTGCCTCTGCCTCCCAATTGCTGGGATCACAGGCATGTGCCACCACACATGCTTTTGGTAGCAAAATTTTTATATCAATATATATTTCTACCTTCTGCTCCTTCAGGTTGCAGGCTTACGCTCATTTATGTTTCATTTATTATTTAGCAACAGTGTAGCCTAGGGAAAAGACCTGTGGTCTGAAAGTTAGAAAACCCAGGTGTTTGATTTGCTCCAACAATTTACTTACCTCTTTTAGGGAAGAACACTGAATTCATTCCTGCTCTTAATTTGTTCTTTTTCTTCTAACTTTTGAAGTGCTATTAACAGAACAATTGAAATAGGAATTATAGCATCTAAAGATTTGAGAATTTTCCTGATGTGTAGTAATAATAGGATGATCAATAAACACTATCGAATCAAACTATGATACATTAGAATAAATTCTTAAAAGGAAATAGAATAGAAATTCAGGCTCAAAAAGAAAGATACAAAGTGAAATTTCTAATTGTTAAAAATTTGCCCATTAATTTTTAAAAGGATGATGAGGGTATCAAATTAAGATGGTGTTCAAATTCCATCCTAATTTTAAAGAATGATATAGTAGTTACAGTTTTTGTCTTTCAGTGAATTCACTGGAAATTGAGTTATGACTTTAAACTTATGATGAAAAGTTTTAAATGTTGACTTTAAAATGTGTAAAGTGGGGCCGGGGATTTAGCTCAGTGGTTTCGCCACCTGCTGCGCAAGCGCAAGGACCTGAGTTTGATCCCCGGCACCAAAAAAAAGTGTGTAAAGTGAGTTGAGCAAACAGTATGAAGACAGCTATCTTAACAGACTCCCACAATACTAATTCTTTCATCTCTGCATTGCTGTTTCCCAGTCACCATAAAATGTCCAGTCCTCCCAGGGCTCGTGCCCCTACATAGTTCTGTACATCCCCTAATTTTGAGCCAATCTCATTCATCGTCAACTCTAAACATTACATTGTGCTCTTTGAACTCAAGGTATGTGGAGCAAAATGTTGTATTATCTAGTTCTATGAACATTTTTTTAACCTTGCTTTAACTAAACTACACCCTCTACTAACAACTCTCTCAAACTTGGTTTCTTCAGCTTTAATGACTTCTCCTACCCTCACCTTCCGTCTTAGACCTGCCCTTACCTTGGCATTAGTAAGCACAAGCACTGAATTCTCACTTTCGAGCATCATGCTCTCTTACTACTGGCTCCTTTTGTTTAAAGTCGTCCCCTTTCTAATAACATGGCAAAATTATCTAACTAGACTGCATCTGTACAATGAGGATTATAGTACTGCCTACAACCTCCTAGTTTTGTGAGGATGAGTCAACACATCTAGGTGCTGGAAACACTATTAATGTTAGTTTTTATTTTAACATTATCTCCATCTGACTGATGCTTTGATATATCTTAGGTAATTCCAAATGGGGGGAATAGGAAAAAAAGGAATGTTATTTACTGTCTCTTCCCCAAGTTTTACGTATAAAATTTTAAATGGACATATCTGGGAATGCAATAAAAAGACAATCCTCCCATTTTAATATATTTTCCTGATTGAGTATATAAAGCCACAGTGGAGAATTTGGCTTTATATATAAATGTATAATTTTATGTAAAGTAAATGACCACTCAGACGAGTTACTCTATGAATCTTGGCTTCAGCTCTCATCAGAAATAGTTCAACTTTAAAAAAAAAAATAGTTCAACTTTAAATTATTATGAAATATAAATTTTTGCATAGATGTTCATAGAAATTTTTCCATTTGAACAGGATTTTATATGTACTACTGTAATTTTCTGAGTTATCCAGATACTTGCTTTGAAATACAATGCTGTGAAATGTATATTACTAGCAGTTACCTTTATAGGAAATCAAAATGTAATTCTTAAGTCAAATTTTTTTTTTAAAAGGTCTAATATTTTTAGGGACAAGGATGATGGGATACAACACAGTTAACTCTTTCTCCAAGTTATTGGAGCTTTTGCAAAATTTGGTGTTTTAATGTATACCTTGGTGTTTTACATGATCCCTCCCACCATGTGGCTGAGGGTTTTTTGGGGAGTTGAGGTTTTTTTGAAACAAAGTCTTCTATGTAGCCCAGGCTGGCCTCAAACTCGCAGCTGTCCTCCTGTCTCAACCTCCCCAGTGCTGGGATTACAGACATGGGCCACTACACCTGCCTTTGTCATTGAGATATTTGATGTAAGAATTTTGAAATGTAGTTTCTTTTGGATTATAAGACAAACTATGTAGTACAACCTCAGTTCAGTCTTTTTCTTCATATTTTCTGTTTCATTATATACAAGTTTTAACAATTGCTGTTTAGTAACCCGTAATTGTATAGATGGGGACTAAGGAATTATTAGATGATTTTTTTCTTGTAATTTCATTGTGTAATGCTAATGCTGCAAATAGTACAAGAAATGTGTGCTTTGTTTTACGCTTAATTAGGTAATCCAGCTACAGGAATGGGTGATTAAGATCATCAATAATAACACTGCTGTATGTGTAGAAGGAAAACTGACGTAAGTGTAACATTTAAATATTCTTATAATAAAATTTGAGAAGATGGTTGTGTATAAAATTTTAAAAGGTGATTCATGAGAAACAGTATCTTCCTACAAAGAAACACCTTCTTATGAGGTTATGAACTGAAAGTAAAAAGGAGTATGCAGGAGCCAGGCGTGGTGGCACATACCAGTAATCTCAGCATTCAGGAGGCTGAAGCAGGAAGGTCACTGAGTTCAAGACCCTGTCTCAAAAAACAACAACAAAAAAGCCAGGTGTGCTGGTGTGCGCCTATAATAGCAGCACTTGGTAGCTGAGGCAGAAGAATTGCTTCGAGTTCGAGGCCAGACAGAACTGCCTAACAAGACCCTGTCTCATGCCGGGGATTTAGCTCAGTGGTTCTGCCGCCTGCCTCGCAAGCACAGGGTCCTGAGTTCAATCCCCAGTACCCCCCCCCCAAAAGACCCTATCTCAAAAAACAACCAAAAAAAGAACCACGCAGGTCCTCACCATGATTGTTACCAATTTTTTTGTTTCTGCCTGTCTTCTCAAATTATTTTTTAAAGTAGTAACAGCTCAAATTTGGATCACTGTGTTTTTTTCTGAGGTGCTAATGTGTAGGCTAGTATTATCTGCTTGATTATATATGATTTGTTGATAATTATTTTGTGTTTTAGTCCACATTCTCACATCTGAATGGGGGCATGTGAATTGGAACAACTAGATAAAAATTACTGATCCAGAAAAGGAACCAAAATTATTGAAAATTTTGCCACACAATAAAATTAACACTTTCTGGTTCTCCAACTTGTAAAATGAGAGCATCTGTAAGGAGGTGAGCTTTGCCTAAATCTGCTACTCTATCAGCTCCATTTTCTGTTTTTCTCAGTAGTAAAACAGATTTCCAGTAAAACAATGCAAGATATCACAATTTAATGTACTTACATGAAAATTTTTTAAGTTGAGGATGTATATGAAATCAGAGTTGGTGCTCGTTTTCTTATTATCCAAGATGCAGTGAAGACTGCCACTGTGGGAATCCCGTTGTTGCTGCTACGACCAGTATCACCTGGACAAGTTACTTATTCTCTTTCAGTCTCACTTTTTTTTTCTGTACAATAAGGATAATATATTTATTACCTACCTTGTAGGTAATTTTAAGAATTAAGTAACCTTTTTGTTGTTGTTTTTTCAGACAAGGTTCCACTCTGTAGGTCAGGCTGGCCTTGAACTCAAAGCAATCCTCCTGCCTCAGCCTCCCCAGTTATAGGATTATAGGAATGCACCACCACACTGGGAAACAATACTAGAGAACATTGCTTTTAGATCATTTAAATGTTCAGTGAAATTAGAAAGAATGAAAGATAATATTGTGTTAAAGTGCAATATAATGAGTTTAGTATAGCATTTAAGCCTATTTGACTGAATTAAAAGAATTTAATTTTATCGCTTCTTGGCCTTTTGGCTACGATCAAGTGTAAAAGAATTTTTAGTGTGTTTCTTATTATCTAATGAATGAATGATGCTTATCTAATACTTTTTTCTTTTTCATACCCATGCTTACCTTCATTTAGAGCAATATAAAGAATAGATTTATGGGTCAGTCACTTGCTACTATAGTTTGTTTTTTCCTAACTTGAGCCTCTGTTTTGCTATTTTTTTAATGGAAGGTAAAAACCTGTGGCTGTGTACTGAGGGTAAAAAAAAAAAAATCCCAAGATTAGATGGATCTAATCTACATTTCTAAACCAAGCACGGGAGGAGGCACCTGCAGTCCCAGCTATCTGGAAGGCTGAAGCAGGAGGATGAAGAGCTCGATGCCAGCCTGGGCAGAATAGCGAGTCCTACCTTTCTGCACAAAAGCCAGCACAGTGTACAGCCTGAAGGAGAGGGCCACAGAAGATATGCTCAGCCTCAGTTAAGCTGAACTTGCAAGCACCATGAACACCAAATATTTAGGAAAAGCTTCTGCTTCCATGCTCATGATATATTTTGTATTAGGGGCACGGTTTATGCAGTGTAATTTCTTGGCACATACTCTTAGCATGTGCCAGCCAGTTGAGGTCTGCTGCAATGGTTGGGCCTCAGTTGTTAATACTATTATAGCTAGAGTGCAAGATTACTACTATGTATTATGAATATGTATACTGTACTTATATATGTACATTGTGACTCCAGGTAAAATGTGAATATTTTGGCCTTCACAAAGCTTTTTTTTTTTCCCTCCTCAGAGACATGACACACTTATATTGGCACAGTAATGTAATTGTAGAGCGCATTAAGCACAATGAACTTAGGACTTTATCAGGCAACATTTATATATTAAAAGGATTGATAGACCAAATTTCCATGAAAGAAGAAGGTAAATGAGTTTCATTATTAATTGATAACTTGTTTTAATTTATTTTTTAATTAATTGTATTGGTACATTTTAGGTATACAGTATAATGACATTCATCATTGGAAATTTGCACCTTTGCTTAATCGCTCTTGGTTCTTATTTTTTCCCCATTCCCCTGCTCTCCCTTCATCCTCCCTATTTACACAAACTTTGTTTCCATTTTTTTCATTTTCTCATATTTATTCCATTCCCTTCTTTCCTTTCCCCCTACCCCTCCCACTTCGCCCTCCCCTTTGCCCCTTTTCTTCCTATTTCACATTATCTATTATACCTTTCAGTCCCTGTTTACACTTTCAGTGTCTCACACTAGAGAAACTATTTGGTATTTACACATGTGTGTCCTATTTATTTCACTTAAGAGTATTGGCTCAATGTGCATCCATTTAGCTATAAA